TCTCCCGCCCGTATCAGGGAACTCAGAATAGCATATGACCCACCCTCTCCTCCCACAGTGTATGGAGGAGCCCCCTGATTTTCCCTCAGGGAAGTCCCATCCTAACGGCCCGGGACTAGCTGGTGCCTCTCTGCAGTGATTCCGACAGTATGAAGGGCTTCGCCAGCAGTGGGGAAGCCAGCGAACTGGCCCCCTGAACAGCCGGGGTCAGAATCCCAGCTGGGCTTCTCTCTCAGCCGCTTGACCTTGGGCAAATCATTTAACCTGTCTGACCTCATCTATAAAATGGGAGTGACTGTCCCCTTGCTCGGGATTGTAGGGAGGAGTCAGTGAGCCAGCAGAGTCAAAATCCCAGCCCTTTGGTATAAACTAGACACTGAGCACAGGTTGAGGCTAACCTTCAGTGACCCACGTCCTCTTCCTGAGCTTCCTGGGTCTGGGGCTCGGGTCCACCGGCCTCTCTCTATGACAATCTGCTCTTCCCTGGGACTTTGGCATCTTAACAGGTCTAAATTTAGGTTAATTCAAGTTAAACAAACAAAAATTCAGTTACCCTACTGTACTAGCCACTGAAGTGCTCGAGAGCTACGTGCGCTTCGTGGCTACAGCATTGGACGGGGCAGACATAGAGTGCGCCCACCCTCCCAGAAAGCTCGGCCGGACAGCGCTGGCCTCCTGCCCCGAGCTGGGGAGTTAGGAGATCTGGGTTCTAGCCCCAGCTTAGCTCTAGTTTAGGCTGTTTAAACAAGTCCCTTTGCCTCTCAAGGCCTCCGCTTTTGCATCTGGGCCGCCTGGCCCACGCTCTGTCCCAGTCAGTGCTTGACGAGGACCTTTTGATTGATTCTACCACCCCACTGCCTTGGATCAGGCCCGTGTGGCAACAGGTGTGTGGGGGGAGCCCTGCTGATGTGGAGGCTGAGGGACCCACCTGCCCACCCCCAGGCTCCAGGAGCTCCAGAAAATACTCTGGAGTCCAGAGTTTGTCAGGCAAGCCTCCCTGAGTGTCAGCATCTCGGACCATTGTCTCCAGATCAGCAAAGCCCGAGCCAGGGGGCCAGGCCTCACAGAGGGCCAGTGGGTATCTTTCCATTGGCTTACAAAGGCCTGAGAAGTCCCAAGACCCCAAACTCATCCCTCCCGAAGCAGGCAGGGCCTTGGGGAAGAGGCAGCCTCATGGAAGGCAGCCCAGAGGGGAGGGGGGCGCAGAGTGGAGAGTCAGAAATGCGCTATCAGCAGGCCCGTCCTCCCCACTTCCTCTCTCGAACGGATCACATCCTGTTATTGTGTGGACAGAGAAGGCCAGGAGCTGGGGAGGGAGGCAGGGTTCAGACTAAGTGAGTGGGACGGGAAAGGAGGAGCCAGAGGGAATGTCACAGTGGGCATCAGGGAGCTCTAGTAGCCCAGCCCTGTCCGATTCCTGGTGGCCTGGGCAGGAGAAGGGTCCCTGGGAGGGAGGACCAGCCTCGATGCAGCAACTGGCATCTGCCATTGAGAGAAGATGCCCGGGGCTCGACACAGGCTGTGCCTCCCTGCAAAGGCACCTGGATTACAGGAAATGGCATTCTTCAGGAAGCTTTCCCCAGCCTCCACCTCAGGCTCTTTTCAATTCAGCAAACATTTACTCCGGGCCTCCAGGGCCCGAGTTGGGTCTCCCCTAGCCCCTGGGCCTCTCTCTCGCAACGCTTTCCTCTGGCTTTGTAGTGCTCTGTACCCGTTCCCCTCCACCCCAACTCCGCCCAGCCTGCGAGCCCCCGAGCCCCCGAGCCCCGGGCAGACAGGGACAGGGAACATCCCTCGTCCATGCCGCAGGTCCAGAGGAATTCCTGCTGCTAGGAATGATTAATGTTCCCACTGCCCACTCTGCCTTCTTTCTCTCTTCTGCCATCCCCAGGTATAGCCCTATCCCAACCCCATTTCTAGCAATAACAATGGCTCTTTTTATAAAACACAAGCACTTTACGTAGATTCTTTTGAAGTCCCATGCCAGCCCAGGAAGGTGAGAGTTAGTGTCTTCGCTTGGCAGGTGACAAAACTGAAGCTCAGAAAGGGTGAGTGATTTACCCAAAGTCACACAGTAGTATGATCCGTGGTAGTCTTGGAACGTAAACCCAGGTATGTCTGACCCCAAAGGCCAGGCTCTTTCTGCGGCCCAACTGCGTCTCGTGCTTTATCCCACCCATGTCCTGGCCTCTCCCTCCCTGAACCAACGACACCACATCGACCGCCCTTACTGCCTGGCCTCCAGCCGAGCCCGTTGCTCTAGGCAAGCTCGCCAGTGCCCACACTCGTCGCCCGTGGTTCTGGGCAGACTGCTGGACAAGCCGAGCTACTGGTTTCCCCACAGCACAGCACAGGCCTGTCTGTTCAAAGAACACCAACTACTTACTGGCTATTTCTTCTTCCCCTCTTAAAGGGCAGTGAGTACTGGCTCTGGACTCAGACCGGAATTCAAATCCTGCATAACCTAGGTGAAACCCCAGCCTGTCTCTAGGCCTCATTTCCTTCTCTGGACAACAGAAAGGACTCCCTGGGGGATCCTGACTTACTCGGTTCCTTACTCTGACTCATGATGGCCACTGCTAGACACTGTTGGACACCGTGCGCAGCACCATGGCGTGTCCTCACTACGCTGCTCAGAGGCGCTTGCCTGGCTTGCACGGGCCATGGGGCCAGAGAGGGCACCTTCCGTTGTTTTGCAAGTAGAGAAGGGGGAGTGGGCAGCATAAGGGGGCAAGGTTGCCATGAGTACGTGGATAAACAGCCTCCTGATCTTCATCAGCCCCACCTCGCCCCACCCAGGTCCAGTATGATAACCAGGCTGCTGGGGCCCAGCCCAAGAAAGCTCACACCCCACCTCCCCACTAGCAAAAGCAGCCAAAGGAGCAGAGCTGTCCATCTGCCCCTAACCAGCCCAGGACTGCGGTTTTAGGCCGGGGTAGGGGGAGCATTGCAGGAGGCATCTTTGTAGGGATGACCCAGCCTCCCACCCATCCATCCCATCCCCCCTCTCTTCCCTATTGTCTTCAACACTGAGCTAGGACGTTCCAAACATAGAACTTCTGCATTCAGTAAATATTGAAAGGGTCCCATGCCAAGTCTGCCATGGGGCGCTGGAGGCCTAGGGACAAATGAGGCGTGGTCTGGCCTTTGAGGGGCTCGTGTTTGAGTGGGGAAGCGGAAAAGGGGGCAAACGTTAGCCAGCACAGAGGGAAGGAAGGCCCCATAGTGTCAGGGCAGTCTTCTGGATGCTGGGGACAAGGAAGGATGAAAGGAAGATGGACGCAGATGATAAAACAAAAAGTACAAAACTGGATGGTTAAAAAAAAAACAAAAACAAAAAGGCAGCGGGACAGAAAGGAGGGTCCAATAGGAACAGAGAAAACAAAGGGCAGAAGGGAAAGAATGCGGTCCCTTCCCCGAGGTGTGCACAGGATGTCCTGGGAGGCAGGAAGCCTAGTCCTGCCCTCCCTGCCACTGTCGTCACCATTCCTGGGATGTGTGGCCCTGGGAAGACTGCTTTCCTCTTTGGGCCTCAGTCTTCCCACCTGGAGATGGGGACAATAGCCCAAACGATCCCCAAGGGCCTGGCCCACCTGGTCAGTCAATAGGCTTGCAGCCTCTGCCTGGTGGCCACAGAGTCAGGTCCTCCTGACCTCTCTGGAGGCGGACTGCCTTGCCCCCCACCATGGGAAAGGTCCTTCCGGAAATGGGTGCTCCTCCCTTCTCATTCTTCTCCTCCCCTGACCGTTCTGGCCAGAACATCAGTGACCGCTGCCTTGGGCTCGGCTAACCACTTCCTCAACCCCAAACCCCCTTTTACTGTAGCCTCTGAAATGTTACTCCCCTGTGCACATTCTCTCTCTTCCCCACCCTCTTACCCTCCCCCCATGACTAAGTCTCATCATCCTGTCCGCCCAAGGGCCTCCTTGCCCCCGGGCCAGGGAGAAGCACACTTGGGAGTCTTCCAAAAGCCCAAGAGCTTCCCTACAGGCCAGAACATGATCCCCAAGCTCTGCCAAGCCCTGGCCGTCCTAGCTATGGTTGGAAGCTTCCTAGGACAGGGGCAGCCAAGATCCAAGCCTGGCACAAGATGAGCAAGGCTGACCCCAAAGCAGCCAGGGTTGTTCATGGGCCCCTTGAGTTCCCTTCTGGGCACATCTTTTTTCCCTAATACTAATCACCTTCTAATGTGCTATGTCTTTACTATATCAACCCCATAATCAACATATTTCATATGTTCATGTGTGTCTGTGTGTTTACGGTCTCCCTGCTAGAATTCAAGCAACACAAGAACAGGGATGTTGGTTTTCTTCACTGCTGGATCTCCAGTACCTAGAATAACACCTGGCCCATTGGAGGGGCTCAAAAAATATTGCTAAATGAATGAAAGGACTGGCGCTCCACTGGAAATGCTGACCTACCATGCTCCCTGAAGTTCCAGCAGTCCATATGCAGAGCCCCCCCCACCCCCAGAACCCAGAGTTCCTGCCTGTACCGGCCTTCCCATTCCTGAGCCTCCATTCACTGATCACTACTCCCAAAGCTTCAGCCTGTCCCCGAGCCCCACGTGAACCCTGCACCCACCACCCCCAACTCTGAAGAGCCAGGCATAAGAGCGGCAGCCTCCCTTTGAGTCATCAGGGCCCCTGGGATCCTGCTCTGCTGAGAACTTAATCTCTCCTGAACCAATGATAAAAGCAACTGCCCTAGCCATGGGAGCTGAACCCGACACACACAGGGAACCATCTGTGGGGCGGCCCTGAGCCAAAAGCGTGGGTGCACGAAGCTAAGAAGAATCCCCGACTGTGAGGCCTGGCAGAAGGAAAAGAATAGAACCCTAAGTGGGAGAGCCTCAGGGTAGGGGCGGGATCCCACCCAAGAGGACAGCTGAGTCCTGGAGTTCCCTCCATTTCGGGAGAGACAGACTCTTGCCAGGCCCTTCCTTTTAATGTCCCAACTCCCAGGCGCGGGGGTGCAAGCTGCAAGGACACAGTCCAGGCCCCTCTGTAAAACTTTTATTTAGAAATTTTCCCAATATATCCTCATATATATACACACATCATCACCACAAGGGTTGTGTCGCTAAAGAGTCACGCCCACAGTGTTGGCCTCCGGGCTGTACAAAGGTCAAGGTACCTGGAGCGGTTACTCCTCTTCTGCAGAAAAATGCAGAGACCAACGCAACTCACCACGTACAGTACAACATTGACGGAAAGTGCTGGGCCCGCCCACAGGAACAATGCGCTCTATGTACACGGGCAGGGGCAAGCCTTCGGTGGGGGGCCACGTACCATCGAAATCCCAAGTACGACCAGACCACCCCAAGGCCAAGATAGCTGTCGGCTGACTACAGATGCTGTGCCCTTTGTTCTGTTTTCGGAAAAGGAGAAAGGTTGTACCATCTGATCGTTTGCCGCCACCAATAAAAGCATATGAATTTTCCCAAAAAGATGCGAATCCCTCCAGTCCTTACAATCATGTCTGTTCTCCTCGCTTTTTTTCCCCTTTACATCTTTTCCCTTTGCACAGGTATTATTCTTGAAACGTTGCCATTTCTTCATAGGTGATGAGGCAGAGGAAGGAGGAGGGTACGGTGGGCGGGGTGAAGGGGATGCAAATGAAAATTAAAATTTTGGATCTTCTGTCGGCCTTACAAAGACATGAAGCCTTGCCCATCCCTACCCAGGCCCGTTGGGGGAAGCTGTATTATGTCTTACGTATTCTGCCCATATCTTTTTCCATTCTCACTCCTGTGCCTCCCCCTGGAAGGAGACACAAATGAGGTCAACCTGGAGAAATGAGGACAATCAGGATAACTCCGGCGAAAGTGGTTTGGAACCTAAATTTCCCAAATGCTGTGCAGTCAGGCAGACTGGCCTACTGCCGAGGCCCTGGACTCAGGATGGGAACCCCATTGCGGGAATGATACTGAGGGCAAAAGTGTTCTTTCTGGTCTCAAAATGCATCTACTTTCATGATTCCACTTCGTCTACACCACAGCCCTAGCAGACAGGCCAAGCCAGGGTATTTATGAGAAACTGACATTGAGAGAGGTAACTTATCCACGTCATTCTACAAGTCTGAGGGCTAAAAGATTACCATGTTGCTCCCCTACTCACAAACGGGAACCCACAACTTAGGAAGGAGGGGAGGGAACCAGGCTCATGCCCTATGTGCACAGGGCCGTGCTCAAAGCCCTTCACTGGGCAGGACGGTTTTCCCTCTAACCTCAAAGGCGGAGCCTGTGGGAGGAGGCTGCGGGGACTTGAGGGTACAATGACGTGTATATAGGACTCGTGTGGAGTTTGTTCCATGGGCTTGGAACGCATGTCACAGGCAGGCCTGGCCTGAGGAAAACCATGTCCCACCATGTGGACTGACACGAGAGATCAACAAGGGACAGTGGTCCACTCTACAAAAAAATTCTTCACTTTACAAAAGGACTTGCGGTAGTATTTCTTTAAAAGATGAAGGATAAGGGTTTGATTTACAAAAATTTCATGTACAACGATTGGAGGGGAGCGCTCTTATTGCAGTAAGCCAGCCTTCCATACACACCCTAGATGACTGAAAGCTGTATAATCGAGGGGTGTTGAAGATTCTGTTAAGTGAATGTGCATTTGTCTGGGTCTCAGCCAGTGCCTGGTCTCCGATTGGTTTTCCCCTGCCCTCGAAGTGCGGCTGGAGCCTGGGTCATATCAAGACCTAAAGATCCCACCAATGACTGAAGTCAAACAAAAATCCCAAATGCCAGGAATTCGTAGGACAGGGTTTGTGCTCAGCTGGCTTCCGACCAGACCGTCAGCAAACAGACACCTTGGAGAAGGAAGGTCCCTCTGAGCATCGGGGAGGACACACAGATGGGGCTGCACATCCACGCTCAGCAGAGGCACATGGCCATCGGCTCACCTCGTGAACAGTGACGGGGAGCAGAGAATACAGGCAAGTGGCTCTGGACACCGTCAGGATTTGAACCCACAGCCCCAAAGAGCGCTGGCTCAATTTCACTCTCCTCATTTTCCCTCTCTCTGCCTTCACATGAGGCCTGACCGGGCAGGCTGCCAGCCACAGATTCAGTTCCCACAAGAATTAGGAAGGCAAGTCTCAGTGGGGAGAAAGCAGAGCTTTGCTCCCCAGGGCAAGCAGTAAGGGCTAATGGGTTTTCTGACCCTCTGGCCCAGCTAGTCGAGAGCAGGCTGCCCACTGGCCATCTTCTTCAACCAGGCCCTGTAGAAGGCACCTCGAGGCCTGGGACTTTCTGCAGCAGCTAGCAAGCTGGGCGGACTGACATGGGCCAGGGTGAAGATGAGGCTCACCCGGAAATGGGCGGCTACTGGCTACCTACGTATTTGGACAGAGTGGCCACACAAGCCACACCAGCCAGCTTGGGAGGGGCTAAAGGCAAGGCAGAGGCTGCTGGATGCCCACGGGGAGAGCTGACAACCCCAGGTCTCAGCAAAGACGGGGCCCCCAAGCTCCAGGCCAAAAGCAGTGCCAGTCGAGCTTCTTACTGGAGAAGTCTTAGGGATTGGAGGGGGGGAGGGGGAAGACCGTGCCGTCTTCATAAAAAGTACCTACCACTTTGCTCCATTTTTCTGTTCTCCCACTGAGGCAGGAAACAGGAAAGCCGCCCCTGGGGCAGTTAGGGCTCCGCAAAGTTCAGACATCAAGGAAAGCTCGTCGAGTCCATCACCCTGCTTCAGAGCTGCCCGATCCTCACCCCACCTGCCCTGAAGCCCATGGTCCCAGCGGCCTGAGAGTGCCCTCCTGGCTGGTCCTGAGCGGCCCCAGCCCCATCACCGAGGACCTGCTCCATCAGCAGCTGGCAGTATGGCGGGATGGAGGCTGCGGGCGGTGTGCTTGGGGGCCGGCTCTTCTGTGTAGCTGTCCGGACTGGCGGCCCCATCCAGCGAGCTGCCACAGCTGGAGTTGGGGGAGAGCACGTCCTGCAGGAGGTCGTCGGGAGGCGCACTTCCCCCTCCCCCACCGCCTCCTCCACCAGCCCCCACCACAGGGTCCTTGCCAGGCTTGGCCCGCTGGGTACCCTCCTCCTCCTGGTCATTGAGCAGCTTGGCCAAGAAGTTGATGTACTTCATGGCCAAGCGGAGGATCTCGTTCTTGCTGAGCTTCTTGTCCGGGGGATGTGTGGGGATCAGCTTGCGGAGCTCAGCAAAAGCCCCATTCACATTCTGCTGCCGCCATCGTTCTCGGCTGTTGGTGAAGATGCGTCGCACTACTTTGGTGTGGGGACCTGGAGGTAGGAGGACAAGAGTTAAAAAAATGAGATGGAGGTCCCCCAAGGCATCTTCTCCTGTGGGGAAGAAGAGAAACCATCCACTGGAAAACTTGGGAAACCTAGAACGCCTTCTTGCCTTTTACTTAGAAAACGCCTACTCAGCCTTCAAACCCCCATTCATCTGTTTCCTCCACTCGGGGGATTTCCCTCAACCCCTCCGGACAGACCTCACCAACCACCATGGCCCTCCAAACCCCTGATCTACCCCCCCCTTTTTTTTTTAAGATTGATTGATTGATTTAAGAAAGAGACACAGAGCATCCAACCGGGGAATGGGGGGGAGGCAGAGGGAGAAGGAGGGAGTCTTTTAAGCAGACTGCGCTGAGCATGGAGCCTGATGAGGGGCTCAATCCCATGCCCCTGAGATCACAACCTGAGCTGAAATCAAGAGTCGGAGGCTTAACCGACTGGACCACCCAGGCACGCCTTCATCACTTTTGATCATTACTGGATGTGTCTATGCTTGTCTCCCTCTTGGGGCTGTGAGACATTTGAGGACAGGGACCATATGTCATTCATTCATTGTGCCAAGAGGCCGTACAGCACCAGTGAGAAAGACAAACTCTGGAGAATTGAATTCCTGACTATTACTCACTAGATAGTGACTCTGGGCAGGTTACTTAAACTATCTGTGCTTTAGCTTCCTCATCCCTAAAATGGAGATAATACTAGTAACTGAAATCAAAGATTGTCACTTGGATCTAACAACTAACACAGGTAAAGTCCTTAAGACAATACCTGCCTCAGCTTAAACATTCAATAAATGTCAACTATTACCACCCATCCATCAGTTATGTACTAAGAACCAGGCACCGTGCCAGGCACTAAGGGCAACAGACAGTGTCCCTGCCCTCATGGAGCGTACACTTTAATGGCGATGACAGATGATGAACAAGTAGCAAACAAATGAACATCTGTAATAACAGATGGAAAGGAGCTGCTACATTTAGCTGAGGTGGTTGGGGATGGCAAACTGGAGAAGGTGACATCTATAAGGTAAGGCTGAGTAAGAGCCAGCCAGGCCCAGGAAGGTAAGACATAACACTATGTGCAAAGGCCCTGAGCTAGAAAACGGCCAAAGCCAACCTGGATCATTAGTATGGGCGTGATCAGAGTAGGCTGGCTCCAGACCCCACAGGTCTCCACGGTCAGTGTGGGGACCTTATTCTAAGGGTGATGGAAAACACAGAATAGGCTGATCATGCTGGCAGGTGGGGGGAATGGAGGGAAAAGGACCTACCCTGTGGGCTCTCTCCCCCAGAAGAGAAGTGGAGGGCCATGCATGGCCTGAGGCTCTAAGCAGGTGTCGGAGGCTGCCTCAGTCTCTCCATGTCCACTGATTACAGACGAGACCAGTATTCAGACTATATTCATGTACTAAGACTTGTGGGGCAGTGGCAGACATCAGCGTGCACGTACTGAGCACCTATGGCGTTCAAAGCACTGCACTAAATGTCCCAGCCTGACCTGGGATTCCCAAAGCCAGAGAAAACAGAAGAGGGTCCTGCTAGTGCTCCTGAGCACCTGGGCTGAGGTGGTCTCTTCTGTCCCCAATACTGAGGCACAGAGCTGGGCTCCCGGCAGTCACCAGTCTCTGTGCACTGAAGGAACTCCAAGGCTGGGGATATCTGTTCACCCTCTTCGATAACCCCTAGCACCAGACCTCAGAAAGGGGAAACTAGGGTAGGGGAGAAGAGGAGAGGAGGAGGACTTGAGGCCTCCCCTTGGACCTATTGCTTGCCTCCCAGCTAAGGACAGACCGGGATGGCTCATCCGTGCCAGCGCTCCTTGCTTGATCATCTTTCTCTCTCCTACTTGCACGGACACACCTACACACTGATACACACATGCACGGATGCACACACACATACACACACACCATCTCTCAGGGAGGATTCCGCACCCCCTGCCCACCGTGCCTCTAAAAGCTGTCTTTCCAAACCCCAACGGGCAGCTGACTCTTTGCCAAAGGCCAGCCCCAGGCTGGGAAAAACAGCACACCTGCTGGCCGTCCTCCCCTGGCTCGCTGTTCTCTGGCCTCCAGGCCAGACAGAGGGGCATCCTTCAGCTACGACACGAGGAGGACCATCCCTGCTCCCTGGCTAATGCTGGCTGACCTTGAGGGAGCAGCTAGCTCTCACAGCTGCAGTGAGACCGAACTCCAGAAGGAGCACCCACCCCCAGCCAGGCCCTAAAAACACTTTACCCCACTGTACTCTCTCAGCAAGCTGTGACGAAGCTATTATTCTCCCCACTTTCCAAATGAGGACACCGAGAACCAGAAAAGGTCAGCAGCAGGAATCCACACCAAGTCCCGACTTTAGCCCCTGCATCAGTTCCACCTCTATGGACTCTTTTTGGTGAAATCTCTGATTCCAAAGTCTCACGGACATACTCTGCACTCCCCCCACACATACCCTCCTCTTCACCTCCATTTCTGTCTATTCCTCTCTGGCACCTTCCCAGAGAACTCCCCACCTCTCCGCACCTTCCTCTTCCTGGAGTCTGTCCATCCCTCTGCATCCTCTGCCTCTCTGTGGCCACGCACTGAGTAGGTGCTCAGTAAATACTGGTGACATTTATGAGTAACGGCTTCCCTATACTTCTGCACTCCCCCCAAACCCTCACCCCCTTGTCCCCTTCTCCTCCTTCCTCTTCTCTGATTCTCATTGCTTCTGCCCTCTGTAGAAAATGCCTCTTCCCTAGGGAACTTCGTGGCTGGTCTTGCCCACTTCCCGTTTGGTGTACCCCCCTCCCCTCTCTAACCCAGCAGCACTGACACCCCATCACCCTTCCCTCCTGGACCTACACCTCATGTCCTGGGCTGGTTAGGTCTTACAAGGTCTGTTCTTATCTAGACTCTAGGCCCCCTCCCCTCCAGAACACCCCAGAGGACTCCTCTCCAGAAGCTCCAGCTCAATACATAACCCTCCTACTGGCTCCTTGAATAAATCCCAGTCTGGCTTCAAGACCTCAGGTGTCCTTCCTACAGGAGTCCCAGGCCCCAGCCAGGCTGACACTGGCAGCTCCAGGGATTTGCTCCAAGTCCTGGGCTCTGAAGGGCCTGCTCTCCTGCCCCCTGGTGTTGGGTCCCCTCTACTACATGGGAAGAGGGACAGGATACTCCAAATTTCCCATTCATCCAACCCCTTTCCCAGGTTCAGCGCCAGACTACTCGGGTAGTTCACAATAGTAGTGCTGAGGACCTTCAGGGGGATGCGGACGGGTCAGGGTAGAATCTATGATGTCAGGAAGGGAACTCCAGGTCTCAGTCCTGGGTATGGAACAGGGGACGAAGGGGGCCCCACAGTATAGGGACCTGGGACAAGGGCCTTAACGGTGTAATTCCAGGCAGGGAGCAAACTCCAGACTCCAAAAAGGACCTGGGAGGAGGTGCAAGAAATCCCTGAGGGTCAGTGCTTAGAGGCAGGGAGCACCGTGTGTTCTGTCTTCCCCCAGGGGATTCTTGCCAAGTGTAGGAACGGAGCAACAGTGGGGACTACAACTGACCCCAGAGGTTTGGCCTAAACGCCACAATGTGTCCTCACTGCCATGTGCCCTCTTCCCAGGACCGAGAGGATGGCCCCCCCAGCCCCACCCACAACCTCCCCTCGACCTAAGTCAGCTGCAGGGCAAGGACTCTGGCAGACTTGAGTTCCAAGGTAGCCAGCCCATCTACGTGAGACACCTATGGAGGAGTCCCTGGTGATCCCCCCTTCAGGGGGCTCTAGCCAGCATGAGGAGTGAGGACAAAAGAAGAGGCAGGTACACTCACCATCAGTAATCTCCATCTCATAAGGGGACGGTCTCCTCTTCACTCGGTTGTTGGTGGCAAACATAGGGAAGGCATCTGGCTCCCCAAAGAACCCACTGTGGGAGGGAGCAGGCAGATCACAGGATCACACGTAGGTGGAGGGGAGAAAGGCTCCTTAGCGATCCTCCCCACATGTTCTTGAGCACCCGCCCCCCGGGGAAAACAGGGGCAACCCTGCTCCCTTCATACCTGAGTTTGGGACAGAAGGTCCGTCACACACAGACACCCAAACACACTCACAGAATGCTCCCACTCTCCTCGGTGAGACAAGCAAGGGGAGAAGCGGCCACACCCCCACACACCCCTCCCCCGCCACACAATCAGAAGTGAACACATGGAGCAAACGCAAAAATGAACACACACACCCCACAAGCAGACATACCCCCTTCCCGGAGGCGAGCACACAACCCACACACACCTCCCCTCCCAATCAGGTACTCACACAAGCAGGGGTGGCCTTCACACCTGATAGTGTGCAACTCTAGCACCTCACAGGACACACGGTCCCTTTCCCCACAAATCACCCCACCTTCACACAGGCCCCGGGGGCCTGAGGACAGACAACAGAAAGGAAACCTCCCTCGAGGGACCACTGCTTACATGCCCCCCCCCCATTCTGGGCTCTCAATAGCTTCTTCCTCAAGGTCTCCCACAGACTCACTAACTGCCCCACACTGTCAACCCCTGCCTCATCCTCCTGTGTCCACCCCAAACCTACCTCTATCTCCCCACTGTCTCGGTGGCCCCAGCAGGGGAATGGACACCTTAACACAGTGGGGGTACGGGCCCCAGCCTGAGACCACAGCTAGGGGCAGAGGGGCTCAGGAGGGGAGGGAGGGATCCACTCCCCACACCGGCCTGGAGCAGTTCCTGGGGAGGGAGCCCTCTTGCAACTACCCTGGGATCGTATCACTTACCTGTCCACTGAGGGCTGCAGCTTCCAGAAGAATTTCACAGCGAGCGCATTCAGACACATTCTTGCCTGGTACTCACACTCAAGCCACTCCCTTCGGTCACACCACAGATCCAACCCTAACACACACACACACACCCCCTTCAGTCCCCACCACACACCCAACCCTCACACACACACACACCCTTCGGTCCACACCAAACACCCAACCCTAACCCTAACACACACACACACAGACACACACACACACACACCCCGCCCCCCCAAAATCCAGCCCGGCCAGCGCGCTCCCGCTCACTGGCAGCCACAGCCCGCACTGCCAAAGGCGTGGACCCCCCGCCCCGGGCTTACGCACACCCACGCACGGAGCCCCCCACAGCCAGCCCCGCGCACACGCACGCGCCCACAGGGGACCCCCTGGTCGCTGGCGCACGGGCGCGGGCGTGCAGGCTTTTCCGCCCTCGGGTCTCCAACACCCCCTCTCTTCCTGCGCTCCAGCCGCTCCGCGCCGTCGGGAGGAAGGCGGTCGCTCCGAGGGGCAGAAGGGGCGCCCGGCCCGAGAGCCGCCCCGTGGCCGCCCGCCCCCCCCCCCCGGCCCTCCCGCCGCGGCGCTGACCTGCCGAGCGAGGCCAGCGGCTGGCCGAGGCTGTAGAGCAGCGCGCGGCCGGGGGCGGCGGGGGCCGCCAGCGCGGGCGGGCTCAGCTGCACCATGCGGCCGTCGCCGGGCAGCTCCGCGGGGGCCGAGGCGGGCGCGGGCCCCGGAGGTCTGCACAGCTCGGTGGTGGGCACCCGATGGCGCGCTTCGGCCGCCGCCGCGTCGCGGCCCTTTAAGTCCCGCGCGGCGCCGCCCCCACCTGCGGGGCCGCCCCCCGGGCCGCAGCGCGCGCCCAGCTCGATGACCGGGGGCTCCGCGGGGGCCGCGCGGCTCGTCTCCTTGGCGACGCCGTTCAGCAGGACCAGGTGCGGGGGGGCCATGCGGGCCTCGGCCGCGTCCCGTCCCTCTAGCGGGGGGTCACTGCGGGCCGCCTCGCTCGGCGGCCGCTCCGTCATCCTGCGGGCAGACAGACAGACAAGCGGACGCCCGCTCTGACAGCCGCCCCCAGCCCACCGAGGGGTGGGTGAAGGGCAGGGAGAAATTCGCGCACCGAGACGTGGGAAGAGGCGGACTGACTTAGCGCCACGTGGACACACGCCCTCCCCCGGGGCCTGAAGGCGCCGCGGCCGGGCTGGGGCGGGAGGGAAAGAGGGCCTAAGGTTTGGGAGAAGAGGGAGGGTGTCTCGGAGACACAGAGACTGAGGAGATGGAAAAAGACGACAGACATTGGAAGAAAAGGAATACAGCCCGCGAAAGAAAACAGAAGGGAAAAAAGGAGGAAGGAAATGTAGAAAGAGGTTAGAAAGAAATATCATCTTGTCCCCCTGCTCAGGCCGCAAGGGAAGAGGAGGGAACAAATCCCCTGACCATGTTCTTCCCGCCCCTCTTTTGGTTTTGGCGGGGAAACTGGCGCCGAGGTGGGGTGCTTTTCGAACCTCCCTTGCCTCTGAACAAGTAGAGAGCTCAGGGAATGGAGGTTACAGGCCCTCGGGACCCCTGCGCACACCGCTGGCAGAGACTCCTGCTCTCCTTCTCAACGTATATTCACCCCCCTGCAGGGAGTGTCCATCTGTACTAAGCAAAGGCATCGTGTATTCTGTGCCGCTGAAAACCCCAGTGGCCCTTTACTCCCACTGAGACCAGAGATGAGACATCCAGGAAGAGAAGCAGATGATCCTAGCCCTGCGTCCCCCCCACGCTCCCCCTCCCCACTCCACCTCCTTCTGCTCAGCTGTACTCAGAAGTGAGGTGGCTCTGGAAGGGAGGCTTGGCTGAGAGGGTACGGAGCCCAGGCATTCAGAGTGCCCCTGAGGCCACTGGGGTCTAGACTCCCATCCTTGAGTGGAAAGAGGTATCATGAAGGTCGAACTCTTCCATCCCCCTCTCCTGCCTCTGTTGTCTTCTGGGAAATGGGAGCAATACCTCATTTATGCATTTACAAGCACTGTGCAAATGCTCAAGTAAACATTACTCCTGGCAAGGAGACCAGGCCAGTGAGGGGACTGCCTTGCCCAAGGTCACATGAACCTATTTGCCACGGAGCCACAGAACAGGATCAGAACTGCGATCTCACTCTGCACTATCTTCCTGTATACAACCCTCCCATGTATATCCCTGGCGCTGAGGACACTCCTTCTTTTCTCCACAACCATATTCCAGGATGACCAAAGAGGCTCTATTTCCCACTAACACTTGCTGGTTGGGGGGGGGGCTGGCTTCCATCACCCCGCTTTGATGCCAATGGAAGTAGGGCCCCAAAAGAATGAGAACCAAAAAACCATGAGACTCTGGGTCTGGAGTTTGGGGGTGCTTGTGAGTTGTTTTAATAAAATACACACACACATATATATGTGTATATATATGTATATACATATATACATTACATATATATACATGTATACATTATATATTTATATATATATATATAAAATCAACTTGACAGCCTTCATAAGATGTTCAAAATAAGGCTTCTCCTCTCAGAATTAGATGATTGGGATATTTTATAGCAGAAAATACAAAAAAATCCAATTCAGCCCCAAGCAGAGTCCATCTAATCACTCACGGCAGCCGTTCTGCCACTGCACCACTCTGGACCCGAGCTGGCCTGAGAAACGTCCTCCCAGCCCAGAAGAGAGACCTGACCTTCTGAAACCTCCTCCAGGGCTCAGCAAAATTGCCACCAGGCACACAAGCTGATGGAGAATTGTCATTTGGATTGCACTTCTGCCCTGGGTCTGCCAGCTCCAGGGCTCACCAGGAAACAGAATTCCCCAAGACCCCGGTGTACAAGAGCCGCAAAGGCAGTGGGTCCGCAAGGCTTCATTGGAAGTGAGTTTATGATTATGGCGGAAACAATAGATCCGTATGCACAGAGCAGGACTGCCAAGACACTGTGGCCACTAGAAATGCACCAGAGGTATACTAGTCCAGTCTTCCACGCTCCCCTGCAGCAGTGAAATGCACCAGTAATATACCATCCTGTGGCAAAATATACAAGCCCAAGTTGCTGATTCCCTACCTTACTGTCCCCACACACCGTTGTGTGCCCAGTGACACGTGCTTCAGCCCCAGCTTCTAACCGAGTAACAAACGGTGCACACTGCAATCACCAGACTGAATTCAAGCTCTCCTTATGACACATTTATACCCTCTGATTAATTCCAAGGCTTCGTGTAGGCGCGGATCCCGGAGGGGCAAGAGGATCACATATTCCAGATGAGTTGACCCTGGCCCCAAATGCCCTCCCCAGTCGCCTATAAATATCTATATCTCCAAGGCTCCCTGTAAGAAACCTATGATTGGTCCCCAGGGTCTGTGGCCGACCTCTCCCCGCCCATCCCCGGACCTTAGGAAAACCCGGCAGGCTGTTCAGCAACCAGGATCACCCAGGCGAGGGGGTCCATGCTCCAGAAAAAGCCAACAGAGGACTCATAAGCACCTTTGGTTGTAGGGGACTACACCCCATCACTTGGCTTCGGTTAAGATTACTGGAAGGAAAGCCCGAGTGATTTTTTGTTTGTTCATTTGTTTTTATTTGGGGAAGATGAAAGAGTGGGGAGAAGCTTTTGAACAGACTCACGCTAGACTATTTGACCATTACAACTCCTCTGTCTTTGTGCCGCCCAGAACCAGCTCGAAGCCCCCAACACCGGATCCTCATCTCCTGTTGCCAGATGGCCGCAACGTTTCCGTTTGTGTCTGAGCACGACAGGGATCCCAGGAGCTCCTGAGCGGGCAGGCAACAGGGTCTCCCGCAGCTGCCAATTCCCGGCAGGGAAAATTTCTCCTATGAAAACAGCCTCCTGCTGGTAAGCGGGGTAAGAGCTAGCTGGCTTCCTGTCCTTCATAATGCACCCACACCCCAACAACCCCCTGGGGGAGCCCCAGGCCTGCTCCAGAACCAAAAGCACCAGTGAACAGAACCACCTTCCCTGCCACTACGAGAGAGCGGAGGGGTGTTCCAACCCAGCCCCACCCTAGGCCTTAGGCCCTGGTCAGGGCCCACCGGAGTTGGGACTGTGCTAGGCGGGATGGCTGGGCCTTCTTCCTGCCGGCAGCCCAGGCACACGCAGCCTGCACCATCCGGATATAGCCGCCCCAAATTTAGGAGCCTTGTGAAACACCCACAGAGCCAGGACTGATGGGAGCAGCCTGGGGGACAAGGTCCAGCTAGGTGTTTTTACCCACGATGGAAATGGAAAGGGCTCCAGAAGCCACAGAGGCACAGATCCCAGATTCCCAGCTCTGGGTTCGTCCTCCCCTCACCCAGTCGTAGACTGGACTGTCCTCTGTCCTAAGCCTCCCCCACCCCAGGCCGGAACCCAAGGTCTTCCTGGACACTGTTTTCACCGATACTGTTCCCCCAAAACTCACCTGGGGCATATTTAGAGAAACCGGCCCCTCTGAATAGGATCTCCACTCTGCCGGAGAGGGGCGGGAGCCAAGGTCCAAGTTGCAGACGGGGGTCTTTGCTTTCCCCCTCTCTCGCTGAGAGACCAGCAGTTAGGCCACGGTGTGGTCCTGGGCAGTCTGCCGCGCCCAAAGCGAGTTTCCAGGAAAGATGGGGGTGGAGAGAAAGAGGGAGGGCGAGAGGGAGGGAGAGAGAGAAATGGGGGTCAATGGCTGGGAATTACCTCCTGTCCTCGCCAACCAGCCCAGGGAATTGCAAACGGCTTTCTGCCCCCACCCTGCAGGTGTTCAAAGCCTCTCCCCAATCCCCCTTTAAAAAGAACCCTACACCTGACCAATCAGGAATAACTATAATAACTATAACAACAACAACGAGCTCAAGCTCTGCACAGACCTCTGGAACAATTTCGGGCCCTCCGACCGGGATGTCTGGTTCAGTGCAGCCGAGTTTGTTTTCTAAGCACTGACATGTCTATGCGATTGGCTTGGGAACCCCAGTCAGGCCGGAGCAGCGGCCACAAGCCTAGCACAGCTGGGTGGAGAAATGTGTGTTGGAAAGGGGGGATCCGGTTTTCAGACCCTGATCTGTGGGGCAGAACCTCCAAGGCCCCCATTCTCTCCATGCCCACCTTTAGCCAAAAGCGAAACCAGAACTCAATTCTAAAGGCTACTTTCCCACAGGAATGGAGTCAGAACAGCACAGATCCAAGGGGATGGGGGGGGGGGGCGCAGATCTATCTAGGTCCCCTCTTTTCTTCCACTGATAAAGAAAGAAAGCCCCCGCCTCCCTTTCAACCATCCCCACACGATGATTTTCAATTTTTCAGTGTTCAGACTAGCAGAGTAGGGGAGAATTCTAATAATTCCTTGCAGCGATAAACAAGGCAAAGGCAGGGAGGGTAAAATCCAATACTGCTTCCCAGTGTGTAGCGTAGGGAGATTTGGGTTGCTTTTTTTTCTTTTCCGATGGGTTTTGTTTAATTTGTTTTGCCTAAATTGTCCAGTTTATGATTACACACCGAAATCCTGGATTAATTCCAAAGGACTCCTTTTTGCCCTGGCTTTGGTGGAAATATAGGAATAATTCTTCCCTGCGGTTTCAGTCCAATGCGGGAGATTTTCTTTCTCCTCTTCTAATCCAGATGGGGGGAGGGGTGGGAAGAAAGGAAAATCCACTCATTCCTATTTTTTAGGTCCGTGTTAATTTTTGCTTTATGACAGGGTCTCTGTGCCCGTTCCTCTCTCCATTTTCTCTCCCTACCTCAAACCCAGCAACTTAAAAAAATAGAGCTGGTCGCGGGGAACCGCGCAGCTTTGTTTTCGCTCCAAAGAAGCTAAAAGGGACAAGCCGTTTTGCTACCGAACGATTACTTTAATTAAATAGAATGATGATGATGGTGATGATGATGACGATGCATTAGTAACCACAATAACTGGCAAAATAAAATCCTTTTTTTCGCAGAGAGGGCAGCACTGACCCCATCCCTCCACAAAGGCTGGCCCTGGTCACCGATGCGACGGATACCTGACCCACGCCGCAATGTCGCTCACCCGGGGAAGGGATAGAAAAGTGTTCTTTGGAGATTATCCCGAGGGTCCCCACCCCAGGCGCAAAACCTGGAGAATGCGCCCATTGTCTTTTCCAGGCCTCTCCCGTAGACCCCGCGGAGGTACCCGCGAAACTGACCAGAAATGGATGAAGCCTGGGTGCGGCGGAAACCCGAGCCGGCGGCTACCGGCTTGAAGGCGCGGGCCTTGGCGAGCGCTGCTCAGCTTCGAGCCTGGAAGAACCTCCCCCTCACTAACAAACCCCTCAAACACCGAGGCACAGACTGGCCTCTGGACAGAGCAGCCGCCGATCGGGCTCCGTCTGCCCATCCAAGCCAACACTGGCTTCCGAATACATCATAATTTGGAATAAAATGTGAAATCCCTCTCCCCGCCCCCTTGCCGCCTCCTCAACTTGCGGCTCCATCTCCTCCTGCTCGCCCTCCCCTCCACCCCCCAGCGATTTGCAAATGCACTTCTAAAGGACACAAGCACACAGGCACACAACCCAGTATGGACAGGACCACGCACGGTCCACCCCATAGAGGGGAAGCAAAGTAAATACAACCCAACACTGCCCCACAAGCCGACACGGTCAGGCCCGCACACTGTCCAACACGATTCAACGAAATCAGTCCAACGCAATCGCTCATGGACACACATCCAACGTAGTCAGGATCACACACGCCCGACACAACAACGAAACCACCCAAATACAATCGCAAAGGCCACACAACCCAACACACAGAGCCAGACCCATGTCGAGAAGGAAAAACGAACATAATCGTATACAACGATGAAAACGCAGAAGGGCTCGAAGAAGCCAAATCAACAACCCAAAGAGCGCGGACACCATCACACTCGGACACACAACCCTTCGCCTGGAAGACCACACTCGGAAGAAGCATCGCCGACGGCTCACACACGCACTCACAATCCCACCGCATGCACACAACCACCAAGAAGAAATGAAAACCAACCACCGCCTCGCGCATTTCTGTATATTGCGTAAGGAAAAAGGGGAAGGAAGGAAGAGAGTCTCCGAGGCGGGAGGGGCGGCGGCGGCGAGCGGAGGGTGTCCGTGGAAAATGCCCCCCATCGAAAGAAACCCGGGGAAAAGGAGCGGAGACCTCTTCTTCGAGCGGGGAAAAGGAGAGAGGAACTGATGGGGAAATCCGCGGGAGGCCGCAGGGTGCTTCCCCCTAGAAAAAGGCCAGAATGCTCACGTTTTGCCGCTACGGGGGGATGCGTGTGGCCATTTTGAGGCCTGGTCCTTCGTGCGGAGGCCCGCCCCCGCGCCTGTCCCCGTCCCCGTTCCCCGCCCGCGCGCCCAGGCTCCTCCAGCGACGCGCGCTAATCCCTCTCACGTTCTGGGCCTCGTTAGCATGGGCCGAGGCGCGCCGGGGCCGTGTGCGCCGCCGAGATAAGGCCCTGCCGCGGGTCCGCTCGCCCCCGATAAGCGCCTCGGCCATTATGGGCCAAATGATTCATTTTAATTTGGCAATTTCACCGCAGGGAGTGGGGACTGGTTGTGCGGCGCGGGGCCCGGCTCCGGAATGCGCCACGGAGAGAGTAGGGCGCGCAGTCTAGGACTACGCGAGCCCAGCCCCATTTCTGATCCCGAAGCCTCTCGGGAACCCGGGCACCCCGCAACCTCAGTCCCTCGGCCTTCCAGACACCTTTCTTCAGCGACTCTCATCCCAGAACTCCGTCCCTGCCTCTGACGCCCAAAACATCACTCCCCAGCCCGTCCCCGGCATTCATTCTTTCTCCAGTGTCCTAGACACCCGCATTTCAGTGGGCAGTTCCTCATCCCAGAAAGCTCCCCAGCTCCCCCTCTGCACACCCCCACCCCCTTCAGCCCTGGCTCTTTTCTGCTCTAAAACGGAGCATGCTTGCCTCCAGTGTCATCGACTGAGCTCACATCCAGGGCTCTGTGGAGGGACACCTGGTGTCAACGGAGCGATTTAAATGTCCCTTCTGCTGAGTTCCAGGCTGAGCCCCGAGCCTGGGAACGTCCCCAACCCTCCTTGTATTTTAAACATTTTAATCTTGCTACTAACGCACCGTTCTAAGCACTCTACAAATACAAAATCTTTTCGTTTTCATAAACAATCCTAAGACGCTGGTGCTATTATTATCCTCCATTTAGAGATGAAGAAACTGTGGCACAGAAAGTCAAAGAAACTTTACCGAAGTGACAGATCTAGTAAGTGGTGGAGCCTGGGAAGCACATTTGGCATCAGAGTCCTCTCTGGAGCTCAGGTGATGAAGAAGGGCAGCTGGAGCCTAGGCTGGGAGGACAGATCTGGGCTCAACTCATTGCAGGGACCAAGATCTTACTGTGGAGTAGAAATCTGGGTTCAGTGAGGAGTGGGCAACTGGGACTCAGCCCAGGGAGGGTATCTGCTTTCCTTCTTTGACGGTGGAGTGGAAGCAGCAAAGGCTCAAATCTTGCAAGTCACCTGGCTCTGAACCTCCATTTCCTTGTCTGTAAAATCGGGAGATAATACCTACCTGATACTATAATCATTAAAAAAAAAAATAAAAAGAAGTCAGTGGTGAGGGGCCTGGGTGGTGCAGTCTGTTGAATGAGGGACTCTTGATTTCAGCACAGGTTGTGATGTCAGGGTCGTAAGATCAAGCCCCACGTCAGGCTGTGCGCTCAGTGTGGAGTCTGCTTGAGATTCCCTCTCCCTCTGCCTCTGCCCCTCTCACTCATGTGCTATCTCTCTCTCAAATAAATAAAGAAATCTTTTTAAAAAGGCAGTGGTGAGAACAATAATCTATGGAACCTCACCCAGCCCAGAGCCCTGGACGACTTCATATGCACATGCATGGGAATTCCGGTTATTGTTACAGAGAAGAAAATTAAGGCACAGAGAGATGCGACTTGGCCAAAGCTCACAGTGACCCCAGGAAAAGATGAGACCCAAACTCCAAGTATCCAGTTTCCAGTCCACAAGTCTACCCATCATGCCAGGATGTTTGGTCCTTCCAGCAGCTCTGGTTTGGAGCCTGAGAACTAGGGAAAAGCCCTTGAGTTCCAGTCAAGGATAGAGCCCAGAGTGTGGTCACAGTCGGAGTACTGGCCCCCCCTTGCCATCAGGATGACTCTCTGTGAAGAGACGGTTAATTCAGTGCAGGCTGTTCCCTTCTGTTCCTCTTGTGCTCTCTGGTGGGAGTCAGGATGCACTGTGGGTACAGATAATGCCTACAGAATCTCATGGTTCTCGAGAAGGGCCATCCATGTTCTGCGAAAAGAAGTTTAATTCCTGGACTTGCCACAAGGTGTCCCCTGGCCCAGCCACACCAGCCTTTGGCAGGGACCCTGAGAAGGGGTCTCTGGGGTCTATTAAGCCCCATCTCTTGCTGTCTCCCCATGGCTCCAGCCCTGCCTCACCCATTATTATCAAATCGAACCCTCCCTCATGCCCTAGTTACTGCTGCTCCTTCTGCCTCACTGGCCTCCTCTTCTCACATCCATCTCCCAAGACCCAACCTTTTGGCCACCTCCTCCCTGAAGCCTCCCTTCCATGGGGTTGGCTTTCTTCTCTCCCCCTTCTGGTCCCTGCTGCCTTTGCTGGCAGCATCACTTACCTGAAAGCGCAGGAGTCATGTAATTCTGAGTTCCAAGCCCAGTGCTGTCATCTGTGAGCAAGTCAGTTCACCTCTGAGCCCCTCCAAATAGGTGCTGGCCATCCCCATCAGAAAGCCCAGCCAGGGAGCGCTTCCCTGAGAAAATGATGCCTGAACTGAGATCTAAGAGTGGGATCCAGGGGCGCCTGGGTGGCTCAGTTGGTTAAGCGTCTGCCTCCAACTCAGGGCCTGATCCCAGGGTCCTGGGATCGAGCCTCGCATTGGCATCGGGCTCCCTGCTCAGCGGAGAGCCTGTTTCTCCTTCTCCCACTCCCCCTGCCTGTGCTCTCTCTGTCAATTAAATAAATAAAATCCTTAAAAAAAAATCCTTATTATAAAAAAATAAAAAATAAGAGTGGGATCTGAGGGAGAGTAAAAGAGTGAACATCTAGAGCCTTCCACGTGGGACAAGGGCTGAAGCAGAAGGGCCCTAATTTCATACAAGGAACAGAAAAGAGTCTACCGTGGCTGGAGCAAGCCTGAGGTCAATTTAAAGGATTTAGGGGGGAACCATTTTGTTTATTTGGTTTGAGGGTGGGCACTGTGTCCTATATAGGATCAGATTTGCATTTCCGGAAACTCTTTGGCTGCAAGGTGGAGAAGGGGTGTGGGTGGGTGGGAAATGGGAAGACTAGTTCTGACACCATACAGTGATCCAATTGGAGGGTGTTGGACTGAGGCATGTATTTAGGATACAAAATTGGGTTTGTAAGAATATGGTTTGGGGGATGAGGGGGAAGGAGAAATCCAGGAACGCTCTGGGTTTCTGGCTTTCCTTTGCCTAGACCGCTGGTGTTAGTCCTGGAGATGGGGGTCTGGAGGCCAAGGGGTTTTGAATTCCTTGACTTTAGGTGTCTGAGGCATCTACCTCTTACTGGGCATTAAATGACCCTACCAGGCTGTAGGGAAGGAACAAGGGACAGGTGGCAAGGTTTTTGTGAGCCAGCCCCATGGCAGAGTGTGCCCAGACGTCGGTGGCAGGTTGGGGAGGTGACACTCACCATCCCCCTCTGCTCGCAAAGCTCCAGATTGTGACAGTCTGGCAGCCATCCCGGACCTGTCCCCCACCCCCCTGTGCCTGGAGCTGGGGGTTCGTGACGTCTACACCCTCCCCCCAAGCCCTGTTTCCGACGGTCGGTGGAAAAACGGAAACTGCGCACTGAGCGGGGCGCCGCCCGAAATAGCATCTGGTGCCTGTCGGTCAGCGCGCTGTCCGAGCGTCCAGGAGGGAGTGACGTGGCCCACGGCCCGCCAGGAAATGCCACCCCTCCTCCGCCCGCCCCAAGCAGGGGCCTTGGGCGGGCAGGAAACCCAGAGCGCCAGAGCTGGGGCTGGGGGGGGGGGGGGCTGTAGGGAGGAGGGGAGGTTGGGACCTAGACGGGTCAGTCTGGAGTCTGGTCCTGGAGGGGAGCCGCCTGGAGGGAACAGCCTTGCCAGGTTTGGGGCCTCCGACCTGTCCCCCACCTCCGTCCCTACCCCTACCAAAGGCTGGGTTCTTCCTAACCCCCAAATTTGAGGCTTTAATTTTTTTCAAGTGTTTCCGCCTACCCAGTCCCGGGTTCTAGCTGCTCTGAGCTTTCTCCCTGGAGCTTGTTCTCTGGAGGGGAGGCAGGGAGTTTGCACGCTGGTGGGCAGCCAGGTTTCCTTTCAAGACATCTATGAGGTGGTACAATGTACTGGGGACTGTCCTAAGCACTTCAAAAGTATTATTAATTCAATTAATCCTTACAACAACTCAGTGTAGTGGCTGCCATTACCTCCATTTTGTAGGTAGCCAACTAAGGCACAGAAAGTTTGAGCAACTTTGCGGAGAACACCCAGCTGGTGAGTGGTGGAGCCGGGATTCAGGCCCCGGGCAGTCGGGCTTGAGGCTCTGTTGCTTCCAGGGGCAGTCCGGATTGCGCATCCCTGCTCTCCCACTTGCTGGTTGAGTGACTCCATCTCTGTGTTTCACTTTCCTGTCTGTAGAAGGGAGGTCATCATTGTCTATACATCAGAGTGTTCTCATCACAGGATTAATTTTTTTTAAAGGTTTTATGTATTTATTTGACAGAGACACAGCGAGAGAGGGAACACAAGCAGGGGGAGTGGGAGAGGGAGAGGCAGGCTTCCCGCGGAGCAGGGAGCCTGATGCGGGGCTTGATCCCAAGACCCTGGGATCATGACCCAAGCCGAAGACAGATGTTTAACGACTGAGCCACCCAGGCGCCCCAGGGTCACAGGGGATTTAAACTGGGACATAATCCCGGTGTTATCCAAAGTGTCCATGATTTTGAAGTAGTTTTCTTGGTGTAGTAAATACACCATTATAGCTAGCAGGAATGAAGAGGTCATC